GCCTTCTCCCAACCCTTGGCTGCCCCAGAGGCTCTCTTTCCTTTCCGTGTCCAGGGGGCTAAAGGGACGGGCCTCCTATTACTTTCTTTGGCCTCTTACCTGTCTTCCAGGTAGGGGATGGCTGGCCTCATTCATCCCCCAAGCTCTGCCTCCACTGACTTCTCATGAAGTGTTTGATTTTAGGTGTTTTTACGATGACATATGTGTGTCACAGTTAATATATTGCAACAGACTATTAAACCATGGGGTGTTTTTTTTATAGTGTTCCTTCACATTGTTTTATTTTTGAAAGAAACCTGCAGGAGGGATAGGAGGAGAGGACAATGGAAGGAAACCATCCCGAAAGAGAAAGAGAGAGAGAGAGAAAGAGAGAGAAACTGGTCTGCTCTGAGAGACAGGCACCTGTGTCCATTTGAAGTGGCGGCTTGGCAAATTCAGCCACGTCCCTTCCTCAGTCTCTATGGCAGGCAGATTAGATAACAGATAACCAGAGTTGGAAAGGACCTTGTAGGTCATATAGTCCAACCCCCTGCCCAAGCGGGAGACCCTACACCCGACAAATGGGAGTCCGCTCTCTTCTTGAAGGTCTCAAGTGATGGCGTTCCCTCAACTTCCGAGGGCAACTTCTGTTCCATGGGTTGATTGTTCTCCCTGTCAGAAAGTTTCTCCTTATTTCCAGGTTGAATCTCTCCTTGGTCAGTTTCCATCCATTATTGCTTGTCTGGCCTTCGGGTGCTTTAGAAAATAGCTTGATCCCTTCCTCTCTATGGCAGCCTTTCAAATATTGGAAGATGCTATCGTGTTTCCAATATTTGGTCCTTCTCTTCACTAGACCAGCCATGCCCAGTTCCTGCAACCATTCTTCATTGGGGAGGATCGCCCCCGCATTAGCCAAGAACCCTCCCAGGCCTTTTAGCAAGTGAGCAAAGAACTCTGTGCCAAGATAACACAACTTCCATGTTTTATTACCAAGACCACATTGGTGAAGATCCCAAAACGGTCTTAATTTTCTCCCACGATGCTATTGAACGCCTGCTGGTAGGAACGGGGGTGCAGGTTGGAAGGGCAGCAGACAAGGGGAATGCTCTCCATAAATTAAAAGCAGTTGTTTCTCAGCCTTGGCCTTTTGAAGATGGGTGGACTTCAACTCCCAGAATTCCCCAGCCGCCCATCTTCAAACGGCTGGGGTTGAAAGACCCTGGGCCAAAGGGTGGCTTTTATTTTCATCTTTTAGAAGGGGACCCAGAGTGATCTCCAAGGACAACGGGGAAGCTTCTAAGCACTTGAAAGGCTGATCTTGTATGCCAGCCTTCCGCCCAACTACGGTCCTTCCATCTGTCTGGAGGGCACCAGGTTGGGAAAACTATCTTACTTCTCACTAAGGGGACAGATTTTGATGTACACGTTTGCGTTCTTGATGCATGTATGGATCTTTGCGAGGGGGAAGTCTCCCTATCGTGCTAACCTACTGTCTTTTCATGAATGATCAGGAAATGGTGGCCACCCGTCTACTTAAATCTTCTCCAGCCAAACAAACAAACGAGAGGTACTGATGCTTTCAAGCGAAACCTACTGTATTGATCGCAGCAAGTCAGGGCTGTTTTTCTCCTACGGTCGGCTAACAGCACTTGAAAGACTGATCATGCAGAAACTTCATTTACTTTTTAAATTACAGACACTCAAGATTCCTCTTGTTCACTTTAAAGCTCAACCAGCAGAGACACGGCCTGCAGGTTTTGGGTAGTTGCTCTTTTGACACATTCAGACCTAAGCAAAATGTGGCTAAGCATCTATACCTGTCTGTTGTCTGTCTGCCTCTCTCTGTGTGTCTATCTACATATCTATCTATCATTTATCTATATCCATCCATCCATCTACATCCATCTCTATCCATGCATCCATCTATCCATCCATCATCTATCTACATCCATATCTATCTATCTGTCTATCTATCTATCTATCTATCCATCCATCCATCCATCATCTACATCCATCCATCCATCTCTATCCATCCATCCATCCATCCATCCATCCAATCCATCATCTATCTACATCCATCCATCTACATCCATATCTATCTATCTATCTATCTATCTATCTATCTATCTATCTATCTATCTTCTATCTATCCACCCATCCATCATCTACATCCATCTATCCATCCATCTCCATCCATCCATCCATCCATCTCTATACATCTCTATCCATCCATCCATATACATCTCCATCCATCCATCCACATCCATTTATCATCTATCTACATCCATCTCTATCCATCCATCCATCTACATCCATCCTCTATCCATCCATCCACATCCATCCATCCATCCATCCATCCATCCATCCATCCAATCTGTCAATCATCTCCAGCATTTTCATCGTTTGTGCTGCCTAGCAGTGCTCCAGAAAAGAACTATTAAGCAGCTAGGATGTAACAAGACGGTGAGTGTTATTTCAAATATTCACAAATTAGCATTCTGTATACATGTCTCACTTGGTACCAAGCTTACTGACCACTGGTCTTCAGCTACCCAGGAAAAAAAAAATTCCATCGCCTGAAACTGTTTTGACGTCCCCCTTGGAAGACCGAAGTTCTCTCGTTCTGCTGAGGGGACCGAGTCCATCACAGCTTGGTGGCAATGTCTGGAAAACAGTGGGAGTTGTGCCCCTGGCTTTTGTTTGGGGCCGCAAAGAGTTGCACCTCTTTGATGTGTCGGAACAGGGACCGTGACATTTTGAGGGCTCTTCTGCCTTAGCACTATACACTTAGGGCAGAGGTCTTCCACCTTAAATACTCAAAGAGCCCTTTGGACCCGTTTCCCACAAAAAAGAAAACACCGGGAGCCAATCGTTTAACAACTGCTGTGACTGGGTGGGCGTGGCCAACTCTAGCTCACTCACTCCCAGCCAATCACCTCCTGCTCTGGAGTATGGAGCCAGTCTCCATCCCCTGCCATCACCCTTAACTTCTCAGGCCAGGCGAGGAGTGATGGGGAGAGGAGGGGCCAGCCAGGGGTGGGATCAGCCATCAGGAAGCCGCAGCAGAGGGCCGAAAGAGCCACATGTGGCTCCAGAGCCCCAGGTTGCTGACTGCTGATCTAGGGGCTACACCTACGTTTTGCTAAGGAAGGCAAAGAGATCAGATGGAATCGTACAGCATCTCTGACAGACTTGAGAGCATTTGCACCAAGACAAATCCCTCATGTGTCCAATCACACTTGGCCAATAAAGAATTCTATCTCTCTGGTTCTCAACTGGCAACCTTTGGTTTAGCGAGTGAAGTGATGGCACTGGGGGGAAAAAAAGCAACTCACAATGGATCCTCACACAATGGTGGCAGCATCCCCCATTATCACACAATCCAAATTCACGGGCTGGGCACACAGTGGCAGTGCCCTGGGGTAATGTGACCCCCCCAATTATGACCTTCCCAGCCTGGGGACGGTGGTTTCACTTAACCATCCTATGATTCATTTAAGGACTGCAGTGATTTGTTTAACGGTTTTGGCAAAAAAGGTCATAAAATTGGGCCCCTTTCACTTGACCACGACCTTCCTAGCCACAAAAATTCTGGTCCCGATTGTGGTGGTTACCCGTACTGCGTTACAGTAAGAGATTAAAGGTGCTTTAGTGCAGATAGTTAAAGCAGATTACTAACTTCTCAAAGCACTGAATGTTTCAGTGCATCCAAATAACTTACTGATACAGGATTATCTGGACCGGAGTCTCCAGCCTTGGCCACTTGAAGACTTGTGGGACTTTCAACTGCCAGAATTGCCCAACCAGCTTAAGTCATGCCATAGTTGCCAAAGGTCACACTAACCCTAAAATAACCCCTTGGCTTGTTGTAGTCCTTCCTGGGCAGTGAAGCATTTCTTGGATCCCTCGGTAGAGGGCAGCGCAAACCAGATCAACAAAGATGTTAAAATTTGTCAGAGGCCAAGAAATCCAGAGCCACCATTCTTGTTCCGAATGAGACAACTGGCCTGCAGCCAACTTGATGCAGCCAACTCCCCCGTCTCCAACTTCCCATGGGACAACCTGCAAGCAGGACAATTTAATTTAACCATTCGATCTAACGGTTTAAAATAAAAAAATTTAATAGTTTTGTCATTCACGTTTCGTTCTGCCTCTCCTTTTTGCATCCTTTCTTTCATGATTCGATTCCACCATTATTATTATTTGTAATATTAGTGTAACTCTGGTCCTGTGGCAAGTTGGTGGCGGCGAGTTGGCCAAGGAGTTGAAGAAAGAAAGAGAGAGAGAGAGAGAGAGAGAGAAAGAAAAGAAAGAAAAGAAAAGAAGAGAGAGAAAAAGAAAAGAAAAGAAAAGAAAAGAAAAGAAAAGAAAAGAAAGAAAGAAAGAAAGAAAGAAAGAAAGAAAGAAAGAAACAAACAAACAAACAAACTTTGGAAAGTTATTTCAAAGGAGAAAATCATCTTAACTGAAATTTGTAATTTAAGGGCAAACTTTTTGATGTATTGAAGAAAATAAAAAGACTTGACATGGCCAACGTTGAAGAATCGTTCAGAATTGCTTAGGAAGGCCCTCACAACTTTCAACTTACAAGCTTGCTTGCAAAACATGCTTTATTTGTTTAAAACAGTCCAATCGTTTCAGTTAAAAATGCACATACTCCTCTAAACTCGCTGAGAATATGTAGTTTTAAAAAAGAATAACAATACAACTTTCCCTCTGCTTGAAGGAGGAGATCTTCTTGAGAAGATTTATTTTGGAAACGGCTCTCTTGGCCCATCAGAAGCTCTTGGGTTCCATCATCCCAGGTCTTGACCCTTACTGCTTGCCCTCGTTTCCCGTGCCTGACCTAGACACATGGATGTGCTTCCCCATGCTGAGAAGAATCGGGCCTTAGAGCAAGAACAATGGACAACGCAACAAGACCAACCCTACATTGCGGGGACCACCATGTGAGGAAGCAAAGCCACCTGTGATCTGAGGGCATAACCCTGGAGAGGCCAAAGGCAAGATGGCCTCTGTGCTTAGGAGTCCAACTTGATGAAGACTTTGGGTCGGGAGAAGATTTTGAGGGCCTCTTCGATCTGTGACAGCTTCTTCTCTAAAGAAACACGCCGGGTGTGAACACTCAGGGTATCGACTCTCACGGGAAGCAACAGGAGCTCCTTTAAGAAGTTCTCTTGGCCTACGGAGAAGAGATGGAGAAGAAAAAGAAGCACCATCAGTGGACAATTCAAACAGCCTTCAGTGACTCCGGTTGATTCCATCAACATGCTGCGCCGAGCCATAATGGGGCTTATTATGGTTCTAGTGTCGTTGGTTGTGTGAACTCAGCCGCTTGGATTTGGGAGCCTGGTTTTATGGTTTACCCCTGTTGTACTGCATACCACTAGATATGTTCAATGAGCCATGATTACATGAATCACGGCTCAGCGCAACGCATGAGACCAATCCTTGGTGGCTTGTTAAGATAATATTGGGAATGCTTATAAGGTACCATTGGGATTCTGAGAAATCTGGTTTGCCACAAACACCTTCCTTGTATCTTAAGAGTAAATCCACCCTCTGTTTAAATTCCAAGAGATTGAAAACTCAGTAAGGCAAGGAAGAGGAGAAAGGAACACCTGGAACCTAATCCTATCCTTAGCATAACCCCTAGTGCTTTCCTTACCCTCTGTGTGCGTGTTTGTGTGTGTGTGTGTGTGTGTGTGTGTGTGTGAAGCCTATAAGAAGGCAGCTTCGGAG